TAAATACGAAATCCCTTCAAATTTTGAATATAATCAAATTTTATCAAATTTGATACTTTGAAATGGACAAATTTGAGTTTAATTCAAACCGTAACATGACAAGCCATTATTCATGCCTCTGTCAAATATCATTTCTACCCTAGCTATGGGCCCACGTCACATTTGTGCATTATCAAAGCTTCAATACAAATCCGTTCCCCTTGCATCATAATTTGGAGTCAAAACAGTTTTTTGATGGAGTTATGAGTGATATTTGGTGGGGGTATATGTACAGAAATTCATTTTTACTCAAGTTTATTTTATTCATTTAGGAGTCAACTTTTGTTTTGCCAAAAAATCGATTTTTTTAAAATAATTAGGATCGAACATGCCCTATAATATATGACAACTATCAATTATCAAATTCCCATTTATTCTTAATAATAACTCCTTTAATGTTTTGAAGCTAGAAAATTAGAAATACCGTTGACAAAGGAGCAGGTCACAACCTTACCAAATACCAAATAAACAAAACCCAACTGGGAAATCAATAATGCAAAACCATTACAGTATACTCAACAACTGCATTATTGGTGGTAAGATTATACCAAACAGTTTGTGCAGTGGCGATGCCGCGCGCCAGCCGGAAAACATAGGAGCCGCCAACGATAGGCATTTCCCTGTACTTGTGTAAAATCGGATTATGTCCAAGTACACTAAGCGTGCTACCATTATACTTGCCATCCGTGAAAGCCAAATTTAGGATCATGAGTAGACTCAACTCTTCTAGTGAATCCAAACCGTATATCCCTTGGGCTCGACCCATGATCTTCGAGTCGAGTTCCGGCCCCACGCTTAAAGGATCATCTGCTACACTTACTAGACCAAATGAAGTTGGGGACTTGAATGTAATGTTGGATTGAGCCACCGTATAAGAAGTTATATTCTTGCCACTTACCGTATCGTGAAAGTAGAAATGAAGTTTGGTTAATTTTTCTTTCGCATATGGTACCTTTTCGAACCACTCTTCGACGGCTTCCGGCCCTTCTTTAAGGCCACCTGCGGCAGCAGTACCGATAATCACTAAAGAGCAAAGCATGAAAATTATGCATAGCTTCGCCATTTGTTATTTTAGTTCAAATCAATATTTCATTCAC